CCGCGAGCGGTGCTCCTTCGGAGGTCCACACACTCTATCAAGTTTTATGTGGATCGGACGATCAACCCTCTGATTATACCACGTATAAAAAAGCCCCGTAGAAGATAAGTCTTGCACACCACATTGAAAGACCACATTATTTAATTCCCCCAAACGGCTTTCAGATAAGATACTTCCTCCCGCTTTTTCTGATTCAAAACGGCAACAGTTAAAGTCACCCATAATTACCCAAGGCTGATCCTGAGGGGGGATAACATCATAAAGATTATTCCAAAGACTTCTCTTTTCATCCATTGAATTTCCAGCATACACAACCGAAAGGATAATGGGGGGAAAAGAGCCAGCAGACAAAACCCCATGAATAAGTTGAGAGGAAGTATGGATAGGAGTGAATTTGACGACAGCATCCCACTTAAGCCAAATTCTCCCAGGATTAGATTCTCTGAAATTATGGTGGCTATCCTCATTACCAAACAATAAATGGGAATTTAAAACCCATTGATCTTCAGAGGAGGGAAGAGCAATACGAGCTTCTAAAATACATAGCAATTTAAGGTCATGATCCTTGATCAAAGATTGCAAAAATGCACCTTGTCAGGATTGTTGAAACCCCTGACATTTCAACTAGCAAAATTGGGGAGGGACATTAATATTTTGTGGGTTTGGCCTTCTTGGCCGATTTCCCTTTAGGAGGTTTGGTCTTAGCAGGGGATTTCCCTTTTTCAACTTTAGTCTTTTTATCAAAAGAGGAAGTGTCAGGAGGTTCTTCATCATTATCAGGCATGAAAGAAGATTCATTGCCAGAATGGCTATCAACCGGATTTGAAGATTCTCCTTCAGCCAACTGAAGAGAAGCAAATTTGTTGCCAAGAGGAATTTTAGGAAGGTTCGGGAGGCTGGTAGAGGGAGGATGTTCTGAGGAGGAAGACACCTCAGTGGGGGAGTTAAGGTTTGGAAGAGGTAAATTCTTGGTGACAATGAGGGAGGAGGCCAAATTAGATTCAGGAATGGGATTTGTGGTGGGTTTAAGTATGGTGGTAGCAGGAAGGGGATCCTGTGAAGGAGGTTGAGTAGGTTTAGAAGAGGGAGATCTACGGGTTTGAGAAACCCGATGCCTGGAGGTACTCCTACCACGATGTTTGTTAGACTGTGGGGGTAAAATAGTTTGCAGATTTGGATTTTTGGGGCATAAGGAAAAAGGGTGAATCAGGGAAGCACAACCTTCACATCGCTCTGGTTTCCAGTCGTAGATAACAGGGAGGACCAAGTCTTCACCATCAATCTCAATAGGGATTTCTTCGTGCAAAATAGAGTCTTTAGTGATTAAGACACATACCCGGGCAAAAGTAAGCCTGGTTCTATTAGCCGTAAGGGAGTCAACAGAGATCGGAACTCCAATATAACTGGCGATACGGGAAATACCAGTCGGCGTCCACAAGGCAAGCGGAAAATCAACAATCTTGATCCAGATCGGAATCGGGCTGGCCTCATCACGCTTCGGCTTGAACTTCGGAGACCATCTCTGGAGAATGAAAGGTTTGCCAAGAAGAAACCAAGGCCCACCAGATAAAATAGCTTCTAAATCTTCGGAAGTAGTGAACTTTAAGAGGAAGAAGCCATCTGCCATGGATAGTAAGGACATGGAACCCTTGAGCGGCCAAAGTTTCTGCATGGCTTTAAGAAGCCTTTCATAATAGGGTCGAGGGCCAAGAGAGTACCCTATGAGAGCATTGTTCCATAAAGATTTTCCTTCAGACAGATCATTGATGTTAAAGGAAAGCTTTTTCT